ATATAAAATAGACAATCTGTCAATTCTTCATCTGCAAGGTCATCAGTTCAAGCACAGTAGGTCATCTCATAGAACTAGATCACAACTAGTTCTTTAGTTAACTAGTTCTTCAGGACACCAAATCTGCAGACTGTAATGGCTAACCTTCAATTCCAATATCAAAATCAACAACAAGAAAGAGATCTGGAATATAATAGAGAACGGGTAAGGTTATTGGAAAGGCAATTAGAGCTTGAGGAGCAACTTCAGGCTATACGAGGGAGAACTAGTTCCCACCATTAACTAGTTCTGATCCTTAACTAGTTTCGTTTGATCTTTCTCTTTCAGTAGCTCCCTCTTCTTCAGAGGACTCTTCCTGGTCACCACCATTAAAAAGTGCAAAGTGCTCACACTCCTCATACTTGCAGCACACTGGTAGAATGAGTTAGTCAGTAGTTCAGGATCAGTAAGTAATCATTACTTACACTTAGCCTTGCCTGCATCCTTGCAACTCTCACAAGGGACCACATGGCCCATGCGGCGGACCAGACATCTCATCTCAGTCATGTGAACCTAGAACTAGTTAGTAACCAGGTCTCATAAATGTGGAAACTCTGGATGATCCTGATAGTGAAATGTCCATCTGTCTTGCTACTGCACAAGGTAATTCAGAGACTATCCGTGCTCTAATAAAGTACGGTGCAAATGTCAATCCTGTATTCCGGGATGGAACGACAATGTACCCACTCCGTTCAGCCATCGAGAGGTACCACATGGAGATCGCTATGATTTTGCTGCTAAACATGGATCTCATTACACTTGCAGAAGACCCTAATGAGCAAGTCCTGTTGCTGTGCACTGCAACTGCCTGTGGATTCGAGGTGCTTGCAAAGCTATTGCTTGTGACGGCTCAACGACCAGACAAACATTGCCAACATGCCAAAAGATGCCATACAAGCAATATGGACAAACAAGGGCTCAAGCCGCATCGCACAAAGGCTTATATAGAGACTGCACTCGCCAGATAGATTTCCTCTCCTTTTTCCTTCCCAGATTCGATATTCTCGTTGATGGCTACAATAGTCAAGATAGGAATTCAGTTCGTTATTATCTTCTATTCCGAGCCCGTGACATTGCTTAAGTATGGATGTGATCCACATGCAGTTATTCTGGATGATGGTGAAATTGGTCTTGAATATGAAGAAGGAATGTCAGCTAATGTATGGGCAGCTGCATTTGGACATGTGGAAGTGCTCAAACTGCTGCTAGACTACGGCGCTGATCCTGACTGGCCATTGTTAGTAGCCATTAAAAGAGGGCACCTGCATGTGGTTAAAACGTTGCTGGAAAATGGCACAGATGCAAATTGCAGGGAAAGCTGCTGCATGCAGGTATTGTCTTCTGCCATACACCATGAGGCTATATTCAGGTTACTACTTGAGCATGGTGCCGACTCCAAAGCTCGGGAAGAAGGCGAATTCTTTTTAATTACTGCTATCACATCCGGGCAGGAAGCGGTGATCCAAATATTATTAAATTTTGGATTGACAATGAGCAACATAAGGGATCCCATACACTGGAGCAACCGGGGGAACTGACTTGCTCGAATTTCTTCAGCAGTCGACCATGCGTATCGTGGGTCAACTGACGGGCGCCCATGCTAACGAGCATCTGGACTAAGTCAAAATGCCCCCCCGCATGCCGCTAGAGCAAGTGGGCTTAGACCATCAAGGTCTTGGTAGTTGATGTCGACACCCTGATCGAGTAATTTTGTCACAATCTCAGCGTGCCCATGACTCGCGGCGTAGGAAATCGGGTGTTCTTTCATGCCTTCTGCCCGATGTCTAAGGTGAATTCCACCGGGGGACGACTTTGAGCAGGCCCAATAGCGCGATTCCCAGCGAACGTTCGCTCCAACATCGAGGATATGCTGGAGCGTGACTTTAGAGCCCGAGGTGGCTGCCCAAAATAGCGCAGAGGTACCGTGGTGGTGTACATTGCAATAATAGAGGTATTCGGTAAGCGAGCTGTAGAGATAAGAGTGACATTGGAGGAGCGCATTCAGGTCTTCACATTCCAGTTGCCGTGCTATGAGCAGAAGCAACTCACAAGGTAGCTTTAGCATGGACATGGTGCATGTTCGAGCAAAGGAGAGGAGATTGTCAGGTTAAATACTTGAAAGTAGGAAATGTTTCAGGTGTCTCTCGGAGTATACACTAGTCATAGTTAGCCCCACCATGCCGCGCTACCATTAGTACAATCTCCTGTATAATTTTGCATGTCCAAACATATCCAAACATAAACATCATGAAACTATATGACTACGTAGACAATATCCATAAACGGAACACAGGCGTACATATCTTCGAAGACCGACTACGATTCTCCGATTATGGTAGGGGTCCTCACAGGAAGCCCGAGTTCTTCTTGTGATAGAGCATTCGTGTTTCTTTCTTTCTTTCTTTCTTTCTTTCTTTCTTTCTTTCTTTTCCCCCGAGGGTTCGTTCTAGTTGAGTCTAGGGGCGGATCTATTCTTATTAGACTTCTTGAAGAATGCAGGAGGATTTCCCAACACGTATGGATGGAACACCGAATGTCGCTGTCTCAAATCTGGAAAGCAAACAACATGGTCCATGACCCACATGTTATAAACATGCTGCTTTCTATGTAGCCAGTTTTTTGCCTATACGTACAAGCCAAAGATTGACCGCGCACCCCATTATGGGCAATCCTAAATCATTGCCGAAGCATGCAAACAGAACTATATCGTTGTCAAGGAATATCATGGTTTCCTCGGCATACAGATGTATTTATTTGAAAGGATATCAAGCAATGAACTCGAGTTTTTTTTTTTTTTTTTTTTTTTTTATGGAGGTCCTATATAGCGACGATATACCATATGGCAACCAGAGACAATCTTCAGGGCCTTCAAGTACCCATAAATGAGCACACAAAAAGAGCAAAAACCATAAGCATAACCAGCCATAGCACCACTGCAATCTTACGGTCATTCAGCCCCTGCATCACAAGCCCTAGCCCACTTTCACGATAATCTAGTCAGGCCAGAAACGACCTAACAGCCCTCGCAACCCCCTCCGGATTCTCATAAACATGCCAATGCCCCGTACACCTCAAAACCTCCAACCTCGAGTCTGGCAACCGCTCATGCACATTAGCAGTTACAGCCTGAACCGGCGCCGTTTTGTCCTCATCACCAGTCATGACCAATACTGGCATTGATAATTTCTCAATTGATAATGCCTCACACCCGGCAAGTGCTGTGCAAGCCTTTGCGTATCCTTCTGGCTTTGTGTTCAGAAGAGAGGACCGGACTGCGGTATATGCGACTGGTTGGAACATTTTCGTTGCGGAGGAAGTTCCTGCGTCGCTGACTGCGTCAGCAGTTCCGGAGCCGAGGAGGCCCTTATTCCGGACTACTTGCGCGCGGGCGGTTAGGGCTTGTCTAGCTGATGGTGGGAGGGGAGTTGAGACGGGGCCCATGAGGATTAGGTTCTTGATCCTGGATGGGTTGCGGAGGGCATATGTTATGGCGATGAGACTGCCCATTGAGTGTGCGGTGAGGGTGATTGGCGCGGTAGTGCTGGTAAAGTCGATGATGTTGGCGAGGTCGTCGGCATAGCTGTCAATTGAAACCCGAGATGCGATGTTGGTGGGTGTTAAACCGTGACCTTCCAGGTCGTAGACATAGCTTGTAAACCGGGACTCGAAGTCACTGGACTTGACGATAGGAGTAAAGTATTCGCTAGTGCCACCGAGACCATGGACAAAGATTGCTGTTTCGGGGCCGTTTCCGATCTTTTTGATGTTCATCTGCTTTCCTTCTATACATGTTAAACCGATACCACCAGCGGTAGTCTCCAAATTGAGTTCTGGGAGATAGGATTCCGGAATGTACTCGTTGCTCGACTTCTCCGATGCAGTGCCAACGACATTTTGGAGACGACCAAGTCCGGTGACCTCAACCTCAACTATAAACGAAGGTTAATGGCAGTTACAATGAAGGAAGCAGAGATGATAATACCTCGATCACCAGGTTTCAAAAACCGAACCGGATTCTGCCCAAATCCAACTCCGGCAGGGGTACCAGTAGCAATCACATCACCTGCTCTGAGGGTAGTACCCGCAGAAAGAGTCTTGATCAGAGTGGGGATGGAGAATATAAGGTCGTCTGTCGTAGCATCCTGGCGCTTCTCGCCATTGACAAAGGTTTGCACGCGGAGCTTCTTGGGGAGGTATTCAGCCGGCACGGCAATGGGTCCCTGTATTCCTATCAATATCGGAGTGCGTGAATCACACACGAGTTATGCTCACCATTGGACAAAACGTGTCTGCGGATTTTCCGATATAGAACTGCTTATGGTCTCTCTGTCTTTCGCGTGCGGTAACATCTATATGATCATTAGTCCCATGGCTTAATACATGACAAAGTTTCGTACCATTGATGATGGTATAACCCCAAACATAATCCATCGCTTCCTCCTCTGGGATCTGGTACCCTGACCTCCCAAGAACCACACCAATCTCGCCTTCATAGTCAAGAGACTCAGTGAACTCAGGATGAGGGTATATCTCTTCACCACTGGCAATTATGCTCGTGGACCGCTTGGTAAAGATGACTGGATGCGATGCTACAGATATACAGGTTAGCTTTGTCTGTGATATGCAAATCGTAGATAAACTTACGTTGGTCAATCTTGTCGCTTGAGTCATATCCACTTTTGTTGAATTCTACAGCATGCTCTGCGTAGTTTTTACCCACTGCTAGGATATCACGATCACTGAAGGGAGGTAGAATCCGAGCCTCCTCGAGGGGTATAGGCTCGCCCACCGGAGCAACTTCATTCTTCAGCTCGATGACTTGATACAATGAGCTGATGGGAGCTCCAGACGGCATAGCTAATGGGGTCGCCCTTGATGTGTCAAGGTCAAGGTGTCCCACACGCTGCTTGCCCTGCTCATCCAGGTAGGTAACGTAGTTGCTGAAGTGATTTTCCTGGGGTACAGCCTCTTCAATAGCAGGCGCACTAGTCAACTGCTGTGCGAAGTCTTTTGGAGAGGCTTTGTGGATTCTTCCATTGATCATGATAACGTTGAGCCGGTCATGGTCTTGAAGAATGCTGATATCTCTCAGAGGGTTTCCGTCTACCAGGATGCAGTCTGCATAATAACCTGGTTGAACCTTACCGAGCTCATGCTCTTGCATAAACATTTTTGCCACTCCGGCAGTCGCGGCGATGATAGTTTCCATCGGTGTATAGTCGAGTAACTTGACGAAATGCTCTAGGTCTCGAGCATATGTACCATGAGGCGTCCACGCGAAGCCGTAATCACCTCCCCTGTGATGATCGCATTAGCATATCCTTAAACACAAAATTATTCCAAGATATTGGGACGCTTCATACGGAAGAACAGTAATGCCCCTTTCATGCATTTCCTTGCAGCCCCTGATGGCTGCCTCCAATTCCTTTTTGTAGCCGGTCTCCTCGGCTTGACTGTACGATATGCCAAAGGGAGCCGCATCGTGAAGAGTTGCATAGAGCCAGTTGAGACCGGGAGCGACGACGTGCCGATGCTTGTTCTTTTCGAGTGCATCCATGGTCTCCTCATCCATGTAGCTGGCGTGGTATATCACGTCGACGCCGTGCTTGATGCATTGGGCAATTGAATCGCGAGATCGAGCGTGAGAGCAGACCCGCAGTCCATGACGATGTGCTTCTGAAGTCAGCATTCTGTGATTCAATCCGGGGTGGTGGGCGCACCTTCATCAACACATGCCGCCACTTCGTCGTCAATAAAGTAGCAGTCATTTGCAGGCCTAGTATCTACCATCTTTAGACTGTCAGTAAAATGCAAGAAAACAATTTAATGACATAGCATACATCTTCCCCAGACATGCTCAACTTGATCTGATCTACCCCGATTTTTGCATGACTCCGTATAATCTCTCGCATCTCCAACGGTCCTAAAAAAGTATGAGCACCATTACCATTTGCTAGATCTCGGAGACATACCATCTGCAAATGCAGTAATTTCTGCAGCAAGCTCGCCTCCCCTCCGAGCGATCTCTCTGGCATTTGCCAAATAACGCGGCCCTGGCAATATTCCCTGATTGATGGCATCGCGGACAACGCTATCCAGGCGGTCTTTTGCTGAGGCGGCACCAAAGCACCTGAGCGATTATCAGCACGTCGCCATCGGCAGTAAGCATAGGGAGCGGTACATTGTGTATCCAGAATCCAAGTACATCATAGCGGATCGGGCCGTGCACAGCGTGTGCTCCTCGATGCCGAGGTCACCCAAGTTATCTGTTTCAAATGAGTATGATAATTACAAGACTCCATTGGAGGTACTATACCTAAGGCCCCTCCATTCCAAGTGAGGTGGGTATGGGCGTCTCCCAAGCCAGACATAAGGGTTCGTCCATTGCCGTGGATGACCTTGACGCTGGGGTCGACGCGCAGTCTTTCAACTCCAGGGACCGTTCCGACATAGCGAATGCGTTCTCCTATAAATGTTATGTTATTATGATATGATGGTCGTCATAATAGAAGTACTATACCCTCAATGAAGACATCACCAGAGTATGGCTGCGCTCCGGTAGAATCCAAGCTAGTCGGCCAAATGTCAGTGATTATTGATAATTAATCTATTGTTCCTTACACCTGAACGTTCAAGAGCAAGATCTTCGACGCAGATGAATTTGCTGCAGGAGAAAATTAGTATATACAACACCAAATAGGATAAGCCGGCTTACAAGCTATCCGGTGAGCACGAGGCTTCAAACCCGAATCAAAGTGGACAACATCATGGGGAGAGAGCTTTCGTGTCGATAAAGGCGTGCCCCAAACCTCTCTGGGCCTGTCGGTATGTTGCTTTGAGGCTCCATTGATATAAGGCAAGGTTGTTTCAACAAGACCAGGGGCCATGGTGTTATCAAATTAAGGTACGGGAACAAAGAAGCAAATAATAATAATAACAAAAGGATTCGACTTGATTGATCCGGGGGATATTGGCCGGCATTTCGTCCATTTAAATATACTGACAATGGATTATCCGAAAATGGCCCAATGCTGCTGTACTTCTGTCATCTCCACCCACGATAGTTTCCTATTCCTGTCTTCCATGAGCAGTCTCGGATGCAAATACATTGGCCGTTGGTTTAGAACTTGAAGCTTTGACCTTCTGGCCCACATATCTAGACTGCGACGTTGGACGCGGAGATGGCGGAGATGATAAGGATCAAAATTATGACTCGCAACGGTGCAACTATAACTATAGCAGCGGATTCCCGGCTTCGTTAGCATGTGTGCACATGCAGCATGGAATATCCGACCAGCAAATGTGCACCTCGGTCTGCGGGGAGTGTCAAGAACGACAATTTACCGTTCATTTCTGCGGCTCAGGTTCAGAGAGAAACTGGGACCGAGGGCTCCAGAATTTGTGCGTCTTTGTTGAGCCTCCTTTCCCCTCTTCGCTTGCGAATCTAACGGCGCAGCAGGGGTTGTGATCGACGACATAGTGTATGATGTGACAGAGTTTTCGAAACAACATCCGGGCGGCCAAGTTCCTTTGAGGAATTTTGCTGGAAAATCATGCTCTTGTTAGTGTTCGCTCGTATTCGCGTACAAGGAAAGTGAGGCGCTGAGTGATCCATCCCAGGGCAGTTTCATCAGATCCATAGCCTCAAAACGCTGCAGAAGTATGAGAAACTGCGTGTCGGTTGGACAGAAGATGCTCCCAATCCATATCAGAAGCCGAAGCCCCAAATCGTGAAGCCATTGTGGTCTCATCAAAACTGGTAATTGGTAGTAGTAGTAGTAGTAGTTGCTATTTTACGTCGGAAAAGTGGCACGTGCGCTGGTCACGTGCCCACAAAGATCCCGGAGCGGAATATACGACGGGCGAAGCGGACTCGCCTATCTAGTAGCTAAGCTAATT